TCTTGGGAGACGTTTTGTTTATCACAATGTTGCTCTGCTCAATGCCTTTATTACATCGATGGTAGAAAAACAAAACAACCAGAAAGCCAGGCATGGGAGAGTATGCCTATAATTCTAGCACTGAGAGGCTGAGGCAGGTGGAACTCAAGTTCAAGCCTAGACTGGGAAAATTAGCAAAACTCTATTTCAAAATTTAAAAAACAAAAAATGAAAAACACTGAGGCTGTAGGTCATTGTGAAAACCTTGGATTCAATCCCTAATACTGGGGGAAAAGCAAACCTGTAAAACAACCTGAAGCTACTTGATCTCCTGCTGCAGGTAACAAATTCACTAAATCAGTTCCTTGTACTATTTAGACTCTTGCTTCAACAACTACAACTTTATAAAATAGATTATCAAAACAAGAGAATGTACCTGTGATAACTGTGCTACTGCTTTCTTTCTTTTGTTTCCTTTTTTTTCTTTTTTTTCGGAACCAGGGATTGAACTCAGGCCTTTGCGATTTCCAGGCAAGCGCTTATTCTACTGAGCTATCTCGCCAGCCTCAATTGTGCTACTAATTTCTCCGAGCTCACTAGGAGGAACAGTTAGTGCTTCCATTGTTTGATCAGTTTTGCATGCCTGTATCTGGTAATCTGAACAACTCCTCTGAAGATCACAATATGCCCTACCATTGTTGATTTCCTATAATTGGTTTGGAAATTCTATGTCAGTCTTATTGTTTTGTCTATAAAGCAGAAGATCATCTATCACTAGGTGATGGAGCTGGCCTTGCACAACCAATTGCCCACCTGTTTGTGGTGATTCTTTTAGAAACCAAACTATCATGCTGTGGAGTAGAAAATGTATAACACGTACATAATATCTGATAATGACTGGTAATAAATGATGTACTTACTTATTTTTCATTGTCTTAGTGTGTGCTCTACTTATTACAAAATGAACTGTCAAACAGTATACCATGTTACGCTGAACACCAAATGTCGATGTCAAGTGATGGACTTGTACCACTTAGGTTTCCTTTACCACTGAGGTTTGTGTAAGCACACTCGCATGTCCCCATAATGTCAAATTATCTACGCAGTGTGTTTCTCAGTTCAAACTCCTTCTGTTAAACAACAAATGACTGCATTTTCAAAATCACTATAAAGGAAAGACACATTGCTATCATCCTCCCTCCAAGTACTCTTATCATTCTTGCCACTTTTCTGAAGCAGTTCTGAAAGCCCTCTCACGTGAGTGTATTTAGTTATTCTCTCATGACTGGCTTGATATCCTGAGTCCATTCCAAACATTCACCTTTTATGGTCATTTTAACTTGGAGGAACAGCCATAAGTTGCAAGATACCAGATCTAGTGAATAAGGTGAATGAGGACACCATAGTTTTCACTTTTTGTTTGACAGTTTGATTGGTTGGTTTTGTTTCATTTTTGTCTTTGAGACAGGGTCTCCCTATGCAGTTCAGGCTGGCCAGGAGCTCACTTTGTAGCATAAGCTGGTCTTGAACTTGCAGTGATCCTGCTGCCTTAGACTCCTGAATGCTGGGATTACAGGTGCCTACCACT